AATGTTGATATTATGTTTGTCAGTGTAGTTTTTACATTGTATTTCATAACGAATGTTGATATTATGTTTGTCAGTGTAGTTTTTACATTGTATTTTATAAATAATGTTGATATTATGTTTGTCAGTGTAGTTTTTACATTGTATTTAGTTTTCTGACTGGTTTATTGGAATGTTATGTTTTGTTGTAAGTATTTACAAATGTTGATTATTTTATCGCTAATATCGGGAATATACGGTATGCAACAGTGCAAGATATTATAGTTAGTTGTTTTATTGAATTTATTATTGTTTGTTTGCTGTTGATTGTGTTGTTGTCCTAGGTATGTGTGTATGATTTTGTAGACGGTTTTTGAATGAAATTTATTAACGTTGAGGAAGTGTTGGATTAATTGTTTGATTTCCTCGTTAATTTTATCTGGTGAGCATAGTTTTTAAACCAAATAAACACAGCCACAAAACTGTGTTCACTAAGTGCAAAGTTCTTAGACTTTAACAGGCTTCATATTTACCCTGTTGCCCGAAATAAAGCTTGTTTACAAGTCATAATCTACACTAAGATATGTAAAAGTACCCGATGGGATCTCTGATGTTCATATATTTCCAAATCAAACTAAAGTTTAAAAGGTCTGAAAATAAAAACATGTTACAAATTCTAAAAGTGGTTCTCTATGAGTAATCGTTTTCTCCAGTAAATATTTCAAATAGTTAGAGCCAACTAAAGCTATAGCAGTAAATATGTGTGTTGTTTATTTATAGACTAAGATTACGCAAGTCTTGAATAAGTCATTCATTTTGTACAGTTACTATATTTTGTCTGGAAGTAGGGGATACCTTGAATAAAGCATTTGTTTACAGTTACTATATTTTGTCTGGAAGTAGGGGGATACCTTGAATAAAGCATTTGTTTACATTTACTATATTTTCTCTGGATGTAGGGGATATAGCGTAATTGGAGCAGTAAATTAGTGCGTAACACAGTATGTGGTAATGATATTAACCAGCTCTACTGTTTACATCACTCGAATGATATTTTATACCGTGTATCTAAAGAGTAGTTCGAGTGATGGAGTTTCAGCCATATAATACCCAAAGAACCCCCTCACGCGAATTTTGATCTCCAGTGGAAACCTGATTAGATTGTATTTTCTCATTAATTCTTGCGTAATATTTCATTTTCATTGTGTGATTATTATATTTTGAGAAGAGGTTTAGATTGTGTCTCTTGAATTAATTTAATTATCAGTTGTTTCTTGATAATAACTGCACGCTCCCTTAAGATTCATACAGTTCTGCGACTTGCTGCTGAAACAATGATCTTAGAGTTATTTTCTAAAGCGTATTAATAGTGTTTGTTAACACAAGCATATAACAATTTATTTAATCATTAGTTGTCGTAGCGCTCATAATTGGATGATATATATTACGGTTATGTGTTGGATTTTTTTAACTCTTTGTTATTTTATTCTTTTTTTCAGGTCTGTATCGTTCAGAAGAAAACCACAGGCAAGATGTATGCGATGAAATACATGAGTAAAACCCAGTGTTTCAAAAAGGACGCTTTTCGGTATGTGCTGAAAGAAATCGAAATATTATCAACCCTAGACCACCCATTCATAGTCAACCTGTGGTTTACTTTTCAGGCAAGTTTTTTTCTATTTTTTTTATCAATATAGGGTGCGTAGCAACATCACATTGTTGGTGTAATCACCAGTAAATTAACACTTTGCATTTCTTTTATTTTCAGTCAGCCTGCAAACAAAAGTTAATAAAACGCAATTAAATATGTCGTTTTGTTTACACTTGAAACTACAAGGGAGTTAGAAAACAATGGCTATAAAGTTTAAATTATTAATTAGAACTATCTTAACAGATGTTAAGATTTTCTAAATTACTACACAATGTTTCAAAGCAATAAGAGCGGCTACTGACGCGCACAAACTGGCGATGGTGTTATTCCTGACAAAGTACCAGTATATTTATCTGTGTTTTACTAGGGGGCGATAAAAATATTGAATAAAACTAATATTAAGGTTGTTTGGCTGGATGCCGCATTTTATCATTTGTCCTCTTTTTTTTTCTATTAAATTTTAATACATAGTTTCAGTCAAAGTTGCTAACAGCCTTTGACAACAAATTTTAACATTCTGGATATCTAAACCTGTAGTAAATTCAAAGTTCTTACGTGGGCTGCAAGATCACTCGAGAATGTTTTACTGTATAGGTATTTCTTAACGGGAAGCATTGTAAGTTACTATAAACATCTCTTGAAAGGATATGTGATTGATCAAGGATTTCAACTGAATGTCATCTGGTTTTACTTGACAAATATACTAATAACAAGAAAAGTAAAAGAGTATTTCATGAATAAGACTCGTAGCAAATTATACAAAAGTTTCGACAGTCATTGAATTTCGTTGTTTAATCAAAGGTAACCTCAAAAATGCTTTATTAGTGGTGTTCGTTTGTGAAGATTTATATTTCAAATATTGATAAGCAGTTTAATACTCTAATAGGTTTGTTTGTTTGTATTTAAGCACAAAGATACACAATGGGCTATCTGTTCTCTGCTCACCACGGGTATCTAAACCCGGTTTCTAGCGTTCTAAGTCCGCAGACATACCGCTGTGCCACTGAAGGGCTATTTCCATAGGGTAAGGGGGAAATATTTTTGCAAACTTGATGGTTTTATTTTTAGATGATAACTTCTGGTGCGCGAAAGCTAAGTATCCTTAAAACTATACCATTTGACAAAAATATACAAACACTCTTGGGAATACAATCAAACCATGTTCATAGACATACTGGGAATCCAACCAAACCATGTTCATAGACATACTGGGAATACAACCAAACCATGTTTATAGACATACTGGGAATACAACCAAGCCATGTTCATAGACATACTGGGAATACAACCAAGCCATGTTTATAGACATACTGGGAATACAACCAAACCATGTTTATAGACATACTGGGAATACAACCAAGCCATGTTCATAGACATACTGGGAATACAACCAAGCCATGTTCATAGACATACTGGGAATACAACCAAGCCATGTTCATAGACATACTGGGAATACAACCAAGCCATGTTTATAGACATACTGGGAATACAACCAAGCCATGTTCATAGACATACTGGGAATACAACCAAGCCATGTTTATAGACATACTGGGAATACAACCAAGCCATGTTTTTAGACATACTGGGAATATAATCAAACCATGTTCATAGACATACTGAGAATACAACCAAATCATGTTCATAGACATACTGGGAATACAACTAAACCATGTTTATAGACATACTGCGCTTTCTGCACTCGAATACCTCATATCACATCTGTCACCAAATAACACTCGAGAAAAAATATGAAATAAAAACTCTTGATATATAAAGTAAAATTGAATAAAATGTATAATTCAAGAAATTACTTTGGGAAAATCACAATGAGAGTGCACAACTAATTTCACTTTTTTCGGTATTTTATCATGCACTTTGTGAATATTAGGGTGTTCGTGTATATGTGAAGAGTTTAAACTTCACATGACTAATTCAATAAGAGAAATAAATAAAAAGTACAACCGGTTGTCCATTTCTGAAGACTATGGAGTTTATATTGGAAATATTAATTAATTCTAAGTTAGCAGAAACTAATTTTGTTTCCTTTTATGCTTTTTTCCGTGTGTGTGACATTTCATCTGGTGTTAAACTTTTATGATGTATAGGATGATGAAGATATGTTTATGGTGGTTGACCTCCTTCTGGGCGGTGATCTAAGATACCATATACAGCACAGTGGTGTATTTAATGAAAGCAGAGTTTCTTTCTATGTCTGCGAGGTGGCTCTGGCGTTGGACTATTTACAGTCAAAGAATATAATCCACAGGTAAGAATAATTGTTTGTTTGTTATGAATTTCGCGTAAAGTTATACGAGGGCTATCTGCGCTATCTGTCCCTAATTTAGCAGTGTAAGACTAGAGGGAAGGCAACTAGTCATCACCACCCACCGCCAACTCTTGGGCTACTCTTTTACCAACGAATAGTGGGATTGACCGTCACATTATAACGCACCAACGGCTGAAAAGGCAAGCATGTTTGGTGTGATGGGGTTTTCGAACCTGCGACTCACAGATTGCGAGTCGACCGCCCTAACCACCTGGCCAAGAATAATTGAAAATAAAAGTTAAAAATAATGTAAGTAACTGTGTTTTTAAAAAGTGGATTTTCGTTCTTCATGGGTAAACGGGATTCTTTTCTAATTCTGCCTTTTTCTGTTCATCCTGCGTGCTTTTGATTATGATGAACTGTTTAGTGTATTGTATATGTAACCAAGCAATAAGTATAGTTCCAAAGGAGTACAGTGTGTTGCAAAGATAATATTATTATAAGAGCTTCTAGATCAATCAATTTATTTTATTTACCACGAGATCTTTCGCAGAAACACATCTGATCCTTAGTCGAGGATCTGCAGATTTTTTAAAGTACAGCGTATTGTGTTTTGTCTTTCTTTACTGCTCTAGAAACTTCCAAAAATTAAATACCCACAAGTACTCCCTTTTCTTTTTACTGGTAAACTTCTAGGATCTTAAAAATAATAAATTAAAATTATTTGGAATTTTTTTGAGATATTGAATGACAAAAAAAATCATCTGTCACTTAAAGACGAAATCGTGTCTAAATTTGTAATGAAAATGTGTATCGCTTGAGACTCAGTGTAGACTTCTTTATTATTATTAACAAAGTCCACAGAATTCCATATGTGCAGAAAGAATTAGTTAACGTCTTATAAAATGTGGTGAATTAGGCATTGCGAAGGAACTTATGCCTGATAAGTATATATTTATTGACATACTTAAGTGAATATTTCGGAAATCCTTTTTCAAGGGACGCATTTCTATTCATGTAATATTTCTACGTAAAATATTTAAATATGTAAAACATTTCACAGTTTGGGATATTTCAGAAATCCTACGTCAAGGGACGCATTTCTATTCATGTAATATTTCTACGTAAAATATTTAAATATGTAAAACATTTCACAGTATGGGATATTTCAGAAATCCTACGTCAAGGGGCATATCACAGTTCAGATATTTTTATGTGCTCGAGAACCTGTGTTCTGTTTACATCAGATGTCTCAGATTGTTTACCTCAAAAACCATCACATTTTCAGATATATTCTGTGTAATGGAGAATCGGAGTTGCGTTTCTGAACGCAAGGTATATTTCAGTTGTTCAAGAACTGAAGATCTGTTCATCTCAAGTGGTTTTAGTAAACATTCATGTGGTAATAAAAACATCTTAATACAGATCATAAAGCTGTATAAATCTTCGTATTTTTACGTCTGAGTAAAAATTGTTTTAACGGTCAGTTTAAAGAGTGGCATCATCTTTAGCTACTGTGACCTGAAAGTGGACTTATAAAACGTCAATGTTAGATCAGTTAAAATCTTAGCCACCAGGGGGTGATATAGTGAAACTTGCATGTCGGGTGTACAAACAGATACATATATAAGTACACATAAAAACATTTATGAAATATTACTGGATAAACTGCAGCTTTCGGGTGATAACTTTTTCTATTAATTCGATTCCGTATTATTCGCAGTAGATAAAGTTTTCAACCCTATAATTTCTAACCATTTTAAATTATTCAGGTATGAAAAATACGAGTCTATATAAAATCTGTCAGGAAGTAATTCTGTTGAATTTGGATTAGGAAGTAATTCTGTTGAATTTGGATCAGGAAGTAATTCTGTTGAATTTGGATCAGGAAGTAATTCTGTTGAATTTGGATATAAGAGAAGAGAAATTAATAGAGAAATTGAAATAATAGTTTGTTATGGTCGACCATTAACAAAAAGTTGAAGTATTTCAGTTGTTATACAGTAAATAAAGACGTTTTGTGTTATACATAGCACGCATTTTTTTATTTAGTTTTTGCTATTAGTATTGACATAGTACTGCCCACTTATCTCCATAGTAACGATGAAACGCGATGCATATTGCACTCATCCCTAGACAGTGGGGCGTGGGAATATTTACAACTGTGTTTGGAATAATATTTTACTCTATTTGAAATGTAGCCCGTTATTGGTTAATAAAATATTAACTGTATATATATATATATATTTATTTATACACGTGTGGAGAAATACGCAGAAGCTTGATTGCTAAATTAAGTCAAAATTTATGTGGGTTGATAAAACGGAATATTTTAATTTTGTTTAAAATAAGCATGTGTCACTTTGGTGAATCAGCGGTGATCGACGACACTGTCGTCAGTCTGTCTGTATTCATTGTAATTCCATTGGTGTTTCGTATGCTTGGATCAATTTAGAAATATTGGATATGATGCCAGAGTGACTTTTTGAAAATGTAGTAATATAGTAGTTGGGAAAATAATATATCTGAATAGAGAAAAAAAAAGTCTATTGTTCTCATGAGTTTCGGTATCTGAAAAGATCATTTGTAGTTCCATGCATTTGAATGAGGACATTTCAGCTCAGATCTGGTAGTCATTTTAACCTGCTCTAGTTTGAAACCCATGGTGGCCTGATTAAGAAAAACTCGTTTCATTACATTTTTTCCAGCCATATATATATATATATATATATTTCTTTCACAAGTGTTTTTAGTTTTTGGGTTTTACTGGTGCATATAATTAGCAGCTCAGTTATAGATTCTTGATTACTATACATCCACTCTACTAGTGAGGATTGCTGTTAAACGAAAGTCATTCTATGGAAATATGGCTTTGAGAAACAAATTTCTCGAGATGGTTTATTACACTTTAGACTTATTTAGCAAAACCACTTTCCGTTGGTTAACGAATAGCCCAAGAGTTGGCGGTGGGTGTTGTTGATTAGTTGCCTTCTCTCTAGTCTATCATTTCTAAATCATGAACGGCTAGCGCAAGTATCCTTCTAGTAGCTCTTCGCGAAACTTGAAAAACACACAAGTAAAGAAGTTAATATTGGTTTCAGATTTCGAATTAAACACATCTTCAAGTCAGAAAGTCAGAGTAAAACGTTTTTTTTTTACGATTTTAATTTAATTAAAAATTATGGGAAAATGTTTGAGTCAACGTGACGTAAAGAATTCACGTGATACTTCATAAGTAAAGCCACATGGTATACTATTTTTATTTTAAAATGTATTAAGTATAATGCAATGAATTTTAATAGAGAACCTGTAATAAACGACTGTTAAGAAAACCGTATGATTAGACTTGTTTTAACAGCTTCGGAGCTAAGGTTTTATACATAAGATGTTTATAAACTACAAGAAGAACGAATGTGAAATTCCAGTAAAGTTTCGAAGCATCGTTTGCTCACCGAGTACGGTTGATTAATCATTTTCTTTGACAGTATATTACCAATTACAGCTCATGGAACGCGAGTACTCCCAAACTTAAAAGTTATATAGGACTAATGCCGGGTGATTATCACTTTTGCAGTTCGATTCGATATTTCTAAATGATTCCGATTATCAGTTATTCTAATTAGGTCATTTTCATTAAAAAATAGAAAAAAAAAGACCCGGAAACAATGCAAAAAATAGGAAGACTTTATGTCTATTTGCTCAATAAATGATACAATACGTCTTACAAGAAATAATAGTAATCTGAAGCCAAGATTTGTTTTATTTATAAATACAAAATGTAATTTGTTACTTTGCCTTGTTGAATTCTTCGAAAAATATTTTCATAAATACGAGACAGTTGGGTACATGTATATATTTAAATTATCAGTGACCTCGTGATATTCACTGACAAGTTTTTTTGTAAGTTTTTTTTTTCTGACTGTAATTGAATGCTCTGCTGTACTTGTCAAAGTATTGTCGCTTTGTTTGTAATTAATAATAACACTTATCAAACCGTTTGATATATATTACGGAAGATGTATTATGAACTGGAAAGCGTGTCTCTCTGGTCTCATTGCTTCAAGACTCCCCTGAACTAAAGAACCTAGAGAGGTCTGACACCTGCAAGTATTCACTGTTCTTATCCAATGAAATCAGTTCATCTGATCGCTGATGTTACAGGGAGTAAATATAACCGAAAAAAGAAAACCGTGTAAAAGTTCACAAAGATATATTGTTTTACCAACACTTCTCATTTCTAGTGCTTAGTTCAACGATAGTCGATAAGATAGTGATGAGAGCGGTGCTTCTGAGTTCTCTGTTAGTGAACATAAAAATATTACTGTTTTCATTGATTCGAAATGTAGGTATTAAGAGATTGTATAAATCCGATGTTTATATTGGTAATCGAAATCTAACCAAACTTTGGATTAATCGCTCAATCCTATAGCAGACTGTTTAACGAACGTAAAAAGAGTCACACTTGACAAAAATGGATTCTCAGTATCGAGTGCCTCCCCTTTCCCCCCTGGTAGTTATACATCTGCAGGATATGTTGCTGACTAGTCATCCGATGACGTTATGAGGGATCCTCTATCAGTGCAGCATCTAGCTCTCTGAAGTCACGTGGTAGATTAAGGTATTGACGTACTCGACATTCGAAAAAGTTCCAATGTTATTCTATGAGATTTATACAAGAGCTTCTTGTTGGTAAATTTATGTCCAATATAATTTCTTTCATCACATCTTTGAAGTGTAACTCTAATCATTAATCCCGCACCGGAATAAAGGCTCACGTAAAATCGTAATAGAACCTCAGCATTGTTGTCAAGCAGTAAATCAGCTCCTTGAAAGTACATTACGATCTCTAAGTCCATTTCATCCCACATCATAACCGAAGCACCACTAAACGATCATATTCAACTGAGTATGTCTTTCATCTGTAACTGTCCAGACATGAACTGAACCAGCATGAAATCATGTGTGAAGAGTACACAGGCATGAACTGAACCAGCATGTGTAGAGACACGAAACCACTGGGGAAGAGTACACAGGCGTGAACTGAACCAGCATGTGTAGAGACATGAAACCATGTGCGAAGAGTACACAGGTATGAACTGAACCAGCATGAAATCATGTGTGAAGAGTACACAGGCGTGAACTGAACCAGCATGTGTAGAGGCATGAAACCACTGGGGAAGAGTACACAGGCATGAACTGAACCAGCATGTGTAGAGACACGAAACCACTGGGGAAGAGTACACAGGCATGAACTGAACCAGCATGTGTAGAGACATGAAACCATGTGCGAAGAGTACACAGGCATGAACTGAACCAGCATGTGTAGAGACACGAAACCACTGGGGAAGAGTACACAGGCATGAACTGAACCAGCATGTGTAGAGACATAAAACCATGTGCGAAGAGTACACAGGTATGAACTGAACCAGCATGTGTAGAGACATGAAACCATGTGCGAAGAGTACACAGGCATGCACTGAACCAGCATGTGTAGAGACATGAAACCATGTGCGAAGGGTACACAGGTATGAACTGAACCAGCATGAAATCATGTGTGAAGAGTACACAGGCATGAACTGAACCAGCATGTGTAGAGACACGAAACCACTGGGGAAGAGTACACAGGCATGAACTGAACCAGCATGTGTAGAGGCATGAAACCACTGGGGAAGAGTACACAGGCATGAACTGAACCAGCATGTGTAGAGACATGAAACCATGTGCAGAGAGTACAGGCACTCAATGACACTCCTGTCAATTCTGGCGATCTCACCGAAAACCTCAAACAAGCCGGACGGTGCTGTAGCAGAAACGAAACATCACGACATTAAGCCGGAGTTGTGTTCCTTACTATTTGTATCTGATATTAATTATAGTTGTTGTTCTTAATTCCACATTAATTTCACGGGTAGTGGACTGGCGATTCCTAGCGGCCATTATGTACAAATAACTCTCACTTAATAACTTTGTTTCATCTCTCTAACTTATTGACCAATTGTCTGATACCTACTATGGACTGAATACATCGAAATGAACTGCCATTTCTCCCTGCGTTCGTCTGTTGTCCAGTATTTGAATAGCACTTACAGTCCGTGAAAACCCTACCTCACAATCATTGGGCAGCATTGTCACTCAAGTATACGCATCCAAAAACTAAAATTTAAGCGACTGTCAAAATATATACATATATATATATGTTTATCACAACACTGGGTGTTTGTTGGGTGGTACATGTGGGTGTTTGTTGGGTGGTACATGTTTAGGGAGCTTAGTAAAAAGAATAAGTTTGCCCAGAAGTGGTTAGGAAAATGGAAACCAAAAAACTCAAGAAACAATGGCTATAGTTAGTGCTGTCATGATCACTTTGGATTCGTTTTAAGGAAGAATGAAATATAGGACGATTGTATAGTATTTTCCAGCCGTAATAATTTGTTTTACGTGAACTACACTGCGTTTCGAAATATTACACAATACGAACAGCTAGAAACTGTTCAAATACACCGCTTAACCCTACTTCAACTACCGTACTAGAAATTACTGAAGACCGTATCCAGATCCCTCCAAGAAGGAAGTGCACAGAACCCATCACTGAAAGGCTGGTCTAATTCCAGTTTTACTGATTAGGTTTTCGATTTTCTGCGTGACCACTTAAAACAGTTTTTCAACCGTGCATGAATTCATACTATATAATTAAAACAAAGTGTGAAAAAGTTATTTTGTTGTTAATGTTGGTATTAAGTTTTATTTAACTGTTTGTTGTTACGTCGTTAAAAGTTTCGGAGGATGTCTTTATTTTTATGTTACTACATTACTATATTAAGTCTACAACAGTAGTAAGTAAGGTGTACTATATCATTTCTTTATTGTTACTTTAATTAAAAGACAACCGAGCCGCGTGTGGTATTATTGGGTTTACAGCCGAAAATATCGTTAAAAGTGAAGATATCCAACTGAAGAATTCATTTCAATACGTTCTAATCCTTATACGTAAGAAAAGTATACTTAATTCGCTGTATTAATTACGAGGTTGACTGGGTCTGGCATGGCCTGATGATTAGGGTGCTTGATTCGCAATCTGCGGGTCACGGGACCGAACCTCGTCGCAGAACACGCTTGTTCTTTCAGCCGTTATAATGTGAAGGTCAATACCACTATTCATTGATAACGAGTAGCTCAAAGATCGGCGGTGGGTGGTGTTGATTAGCTTCCTTCCCTCTAGTCTATCACTTCAAAAATGGGAACGGCAGCACAAGTAGCCCTCGAGTAACAAAACAAATGAAAGAGGTTGATTTTTAGTTTCTCTCTCTAAGTTAGTAGCTTGCTCTGATCGGAAGTTAATATTGATTATATTTGTGTACCGTTACCTTGGTCGCTGTGAACTATTTTTAAATGTTATTTGAATGTTTGGTTTATGTTGAGGTTCCACTCCTTTCAATTTTTTGATTTTGTATAAGAAAACAAACAAACTGATTTGTCATAGTATTCGTAATAATTAATGTCTAAGCTATTAATCTTTTCTCCATGCAACACTATGAACCTCTTATCATGAAATGAACAAACTAATAACTCTACAGAGATAAATTAATTATATTTACTTACAGAATCGAGAAAAAACAAGACAATTGTATGTTTCACAAATATATCATTTATTCACGACCATGGTTTCGCCAGTAAAAGTATCATCAGATACAGACTGAAATGTTTCGTAACAGGGTTTATATATATGTTTAAACAAAGAACCGGTAATTATTGAGTTTCACCAATCACCGGCTGTTTCAATTATCAATTATGTGTTTCCTTATGTCATATTTCTACAATAAATAATTTCTTATCACCATATTTGATCATTTTTTAAAATTATATTCCAGTTTTATCTTCAAACTCTTTTTGTGTACGAGATCAAATTTCGAGATGTTTTTTCTTAATTCTTTTCCTTTTTTCCAGTTACTCTGTATAAAGAATACCAAAAAATAGCGATAAAATATAAAGTCTATGAAGATTAAGTTTACAAATTCTCATAAAGCAATACATTTCATTTGTAAATGTCATAATTATAAAAAAATATTTTTAATCAGACAAATTATTATTATTTTTTTATCTTTTTAGAGACATCAAACCAGACAATATCTTGTTGGACGACGAAGGTGGGTTTTCATTTAATAAATATTAGTTGTTTCATTATTGTAACATCTTTAATACGTTTTACATAGAAAGTTTGGAAAATCAGTTATTTTACAGTTATAGTGAAATGACTTTTCATGATTAATTACATCGCACTTCTGCCTGCTGCTTTTCTGTAAGGTTGAATTTTTTACTTTCTGGTTTGCAGTGATTTAAAATCCTCTAAGAAAAATACCTTATACGAGATGCGGATAAAAAACAAAGAAACATTTATCAAACCTGATCATTCCTAAAATATATTTGTTTGTTTGTAATTAAACATAAAGCTACATAATGGGCTAAGAATGTTTTAGTGCTATTGTTCAGTTATTTCGATTTCTTAATTTGTTCATTAGATATACAAACTTAAGAATATTTTAAAGCTATTGTTCAGTTATTTAGATTTTTAATTTGTTCATTAGATATACAAACTTAAGAATATTTTAAAGCTGTTGTTCAGTTATTTAGATTTTTAATTTGTTCATTAGATATACAAACTTAAGAATATTTTAGTGCTATTGTTCAGTTATTTCGATTTTTTAATTTGTTCATTAGATAAACAAACTTAAGAATATTTTAGTGCTATTGTTCAGTTATTTCGATTTCTTAATTTGTTCATTAGATATACAAACTTAAGAATATTTTAGTGCTATTGTTCAGTTATTTCGATTTCTTAATTTGTTCATTAGATATACAAACTTAAGAATATTTTAAAGCTATTGTTCAGTTATTTCGATTTTTTAATTTGTTCATTAGATATACAAACTTAAGAATATTTTAAAGCTATTGTTCAGTTATTTCGATTTTTTAATTTGTTCATTAGATAAACAAACTTAAGAATATTTTAGTGCTATTGTTCAGTTATTTCGATTTTTTAATTTGTTCATTAGATATACAAACTTAAGAATATTTTAGTGCTATTGTTCAGTTATTTCGATTTCTTAATTTGTTCATTAGATATACAAACTTAAGAATGTTTTAGAAACTATAACACTTCTCGGTATTCTTTATGATCATGTTTGTCTCATTTCTTCCAAGAAAAACTTTAACTCTTTAAAAACTACTTTTTGTTCTTCTAAATTTGATCATCTACACTTAGCTACTGAGTTCTAAATTAACTTCATGTTAACTATCTATTTTAGGCTTAACAAAGTTAAAACTAGTCGATGGTTGGCCAAGTTTCGACCTTAAGAGGCCTATTCTGAATTCACGTTGATAATACTGTGATATGAAGGTGCATCATCAAATTTCATTCAGTAATGTCCCCTCCCCAGTGAGTCAGCAGTAAGTTTACGGACTTAAAATACTAAAATCTGAGGTTCGATTCCCCCCACGGTGGATAGAGAGCAAATAGCTCATTGTGTAGCTTGCGCTAAAGCACACACATATACCATTCAGTAATTTCACTGTCATGTTTAAATGTTTGGTAAACAAGGAAACCACAATGAAAACCATTCTTTAGAAATAGTTTGTTTGTTTTTAATTATGCACAAAGCTACACAAGGGCTATCTGTGCTCTGCCCACCACGGGTATCGAAACCCGATTTCTAGCGTTGTAAGTCCGCAGACATACCGCTGTGCCACTGGGGGGCGTTAGAAATAGTGGATGATTTGGTGTTTGTATTTTATGAATCCTTAAGCTATGTAAACGCTTACGGTTTAAATGTTAGTTCTTTGTTAGGTTTAAGCACTTACAAGTGATAGTAATTATTTCAGGTCACGCGCACGTTACAGATTTCAACGTCGCCACTGTGCTTAAGGAAGGAAGATTAGCTACTACAATCTCGGGAACAAAACCGTACATAGGTAAGTGAATCTGGTAAATCGCTTCCACAGAAAGTTCTGGAAGTTTGTTAACATATTATCTGCAGCGACCATAAAGATTCTTAATTTTTAAGACTTCCTTAAAATTTAACCTAAAAGTCCCCCCACCCCCATAAAAAGACTGTTCTTGTTTTCTACCATTTTGGGGGTTCCTGGTGACACCGTGGCAAGATTGATGACTTGCAATGTTAAATTGGAGGTTTAATCCCTGGGGTGGGTAAAACAGAGACAGTCTATTGTGTAGTTTTTGACTAACAAAATAAATACGATAACTTTGAAAAGTACATCTGATGGTGGTTTCAGCTTTGATCTGATGGAAATAACTGGGGGTTTCATGGATTTGGGTTGAGTAGGAAATCATTTAGGTTGTTTTATTAACAACATTTCAGAAAATCATCAGATGTAAGGTTACGATCAATAGCAACAGCTTTTATACTTCAGTCAGATGGTAACTAATCTGGTGTTATCAGGTAAACAGAGCTGAGTATAAAAATTGGGCTCCAGGCGTTCTTCACATATGCGCTATACGTATTAAGTCATACTGGTGCGATAAATATCCAATATCAAGATAAACGTTTTGTCTCTCTGTGGACACATCTTCCCCTAAGCGAGTTGACCGATTCATACCAACCTTAGCAAGCTAACTTATTCATATTAAACTTTCCGATATATTGAAAAATAAAAATATTTTTTTAGGATAACCCCTGTATCGTTACTGCTGTAGCTGTTGTCAATAATTGAGTTTGAACAAAACTCACGCCACAACAAAATTCTATAAGTCAAAGATTGTAAATAAGATTTTTAGCATTTTGGCTTATTTCCCATAATAACCAAACTATACAATAATAAAATATCCTGATGAATTATGGAGAATAAACATATTACTGCTGTTTAAGTTTCCCGATATTTTCTGAGTCACACCATTTAACTTCCGGTTTATACTAGGGTTAGAATAAGCGCTTAAGCCTGAATTAGAGAAGTATTTCATAATAAAATATTTTTAGGATATTTCTTACTTCTTGATGTAGAATAAAGTTTTCCGTAGAAGAAAAATTCAAGATCATTGTTAAATCTGATGCATTAAAAGTATCAGATTCAGACAGTAAAAATCTTGACCACATCTCTATTGTGAGATGAGCTGCTTTGTACAAGAAATGACGCAACTACTTTGCCATTTCTGCCAAGTTTCTCGACTCGACTGCTACACCTCCGCACTTCTGATTCACTTCCACTTGTCTTACAACAATTTTCTTGGAGAATGAACTCTACTGGAATTTCTCGCAGAGATTTTGCCAATGTTTTGCAAGTTTGCGCGTATTTTCCGCGTTTTCAAGAGTGGAAAAGCCGGGGGAATGCAGTCTCCTTAAAATAATCTGCAAAACTTTTAAGGTAAGACATTTAAAGTGCGTTAAAAGAAAGCCTATTATGAACTGATAATTCTTGTTTACTTGTAGACTTTAACCGGATCTGTCGGGATTTCACCAAGAGCAGAGCTGAATATGCAATTTGCCGCTCAAAAAATTAGTCAAATTGCACATCTACTTAATTTCGGAACATCCTTCTTGCTGTTTTATGACTATTATTCATCATGTAGAACGGAAAGTCTGCCCTAATTTTCCTTAATATGTTTTTAGAAAAATCTCAAGAAATCTATTAACTTTACCGACATTATTGTTTTGGTCTTATGTAGAGTCAGGTAACACGATATCAATTTGCATTTTGTATTGGTATTTGTAGTAAAGATACTAAGCCTATCTGCTGCCGTCTCTAATTTTGAACTAGTAACCATCCTGATAAGGGATTGACTGCCACTCTTACAACGCGCCAACTGGTTAAATCTGGGGGTATATTTTGTGATATTAAACGAACGGATTGGAACCCGGCTCGCTATCTCCAATATCCAGAGCTTAACCTCAGGGTCAAACCATCCTCCCCTCCCTTATCAAGCTGTGTAATCTATACAGAAATAATAATATAAAAGTCTTGAGGATAAACTTTGGAATATTTAAAAAAAATATATTAGAGAAATTTTGGGCAAACTTTCAGTGTGCCGATTATAATATGAATATGATAGGGAAATATTCTATTGTATGCTGTAGTAAGAGCTGGTTTGTCCCTTTTAATGTCACGCACAAAAAATAATTTATAAAGTTAGCGCAATATATGTGTATTAACTAAACTGAAAAATAGTGCTAAATGTGATAACGGTTAGAGTTGTTATGTTACACCGTAGTGTAAGGCATATAACAGTAGCCTAGTAACCCCAGTTCATGAACGAAAACAGCTTCGTTTCCACCAGGCAGTTCATTATCGATAAATATTTTACTGCGTAGTAGTTTATTTAGTTGAGCTAACTGTTGTTAATATGGTGGTGATAGAATAGAACTTTTGAGTATTAAGTGGCCGCATTGGTTTGAATGTTAAATATTGCAATTTGAAAGCAGTTTGTGTAGTGTGCTGCAATAATCTCGAAATTCACGACATTGGAGGGACATCTATATCACTCAATACAATCATGAAGAACTGATTGATGAACGGGTGATTTATGGCCATTGAAGTCAGCATCAAATGTAATAGAAAGATTGTATGGTGATCAGTGGAATTTCAAATAATTACGTAAAAAGAAAATTTTCACATTTCTTTGTGAAAGTTCCCCACAAATAACCTCAGATAATAAGTTTTGTGCAGCGCTTACGCAGTCTTTCAAAGAACATGCTTATTGGTAGACATGTTGTATCATAAAAAACAAGCTTAAACAGTTTACCTTGCATGAGACTCGGAGGATTAGTAGTACTAGTGATCCCCACCCCCCAAAAAAAAGTAGTTGTAGAATGGGCCATTCTTAACATTTAGTGGCTTTGATCAGCTGGATGTTATTATCGCCAGTCATCATAAATATTACTTTAATTACTAATGCAACAAACTAGTAATTAATGGCTAATAATTAAGTTACACATTTTGGGCAACAATTAACCATCTCACTCACTATATATTATTATTATCACCTTCCGGCTTAAATTTTTCTCGTACTTTCTAAAACTATTACACTCCCCCCCCCCCAAAAAAAAACAACTAACAAAATATGTTACTTTGCAATTAAAGATAACTGTTTGAGTTATAAACTAGTAATAAATCAAGGCCTTACAACTTCAGCATATAGTATTCAAAAAATTGTTTTTTTTTTCAGTTCAATTATAAAATGAGTGAAAGGACAATCTAAATGCCACACATCTAATTTTCAGTCTAACATCATAAGAAGTTTAGTCTTGTGTTTCCTATTTCCCCTTGTCCAGAGTTATTGATGAGAGGTGTTATTTCTCGAAACCTGTATAACTCAGAAGCAAGTGGTGAATCTGATAATAGATTGAGCTTCACATTTAAATTTAGGGCGTTAAACAACTTGTGTGCTGAATAATTTAGAAAAATATATTAATATCATCAATGTTACATATTACTCAAATCCTATATAGACATAAGTTCAGTGTGGTGAATAAAAAACAGTTAAAATCACCATAAGTATTGTAATTTGGGAACTATTTATCACCCATGATTCCGCATCCATCCATCGTGACTTACTTCCGAAAATGTGATTTTTCAGGATGTTGTATTCTAGAAACGATTATGCACAAAACTCGTCAGTTGCTTAATGGTGAAGTGAAAAGTAATATTTTTCTCTCTTCGTCAGCTCCAGAAGTATTTCAGTGTGGACTAGGAAAAAATCAAGGTTATTCTTACGCTGCAGATTGGTGGTCTCTAGGAGTCTGTGGGTTTGAAATGTTGCGTGGGAAGGTAATTCAATATTAATCTACATCTTTGCCTATAAATATTGTGGTCATATGTATGTATATTAAACACTTGTGTAAAACATCTTGACGTGCTGGAAAACGTTAGATAACAGTTTTCCTTACTGGGCTGGCGGTAATGAATGGGCCCGGCATGGCCAGGTGGTTAGGGCGTTTGAATCGCAATTTGAGGGTCGCGGGTTCGAATCCCCGTCACACCAAACATGCTCGCTCTTTCAGTCGTTGGGCATTATTATGTGACGGTCAATCCCACTATTCGTTGGTAGAAGAATAGCCCAAGAGTTGGCGGTGGGTGACGATGACTAGTTTGCCTTCCATCTAGTCTTTTACTGTTAAATTAGGAAATGTCTTTGCACGAAATTCAAACCAAACTGTAATCACTGAATGCCTGTTAGTGGTACGTAACGTTGCTATATAGTTGTTATAATCTTACCACTGAGTATAATAATATTATTAACATGGAATGAGAAATTAGTTATTTTCGAATTTTTAATAAGGGCCTATGGGCTTGTCTTAGGTTCACGAACTTACAAAGCTAAAATCCGGGGTTCGATTCAATGCAGTGGACAGCTCGCAGATAGCCCATTTTGTAGCTTTGTGCTAAAACAAACAAACGTTCTTTCGATCAATACTACACACATGCGAAATCGAACCTTAGAAGGTGATCCAAAGCATATTAATAATTTCCTAATATTATTTTGAAACATTGTTGTCTCCAAAAACTTTCGAGCTAGTACCAAAACAGAATTATAATAAATAATTACCAGTGAACACATCTCAAACTTAATGAAAGAAAATGCTTTAAAATATCCATATATTGTATTTGTTGTCGTTATTAGTAATAGACATACTTCAATCTTATTGAAGTGAAATTAAATGTACACTGAGATCTTTGCAACAACCTCTAGCTCCCGTATGAAATCCATTCTGGTACACCAGAAGAAGAAGTGTTACAGATGGTGGAGAGTACTTGCTTACGTTTTCCACGTGAAATTAGCAAAGGGATGGCTGAGTTACTAAAAAGGGTAAGTTCAATTATGTAATTTATACTTTCATTTCGTAATCCAATTTATGGGGTTTGTTATAAATAAACAATAATTCAAGGTTGTTCCACTTCAAGGTGACTATTATAACAAACTCAAATCCTTTGTTTTTTTTCCTAACTCTTCTTTATTTAACCAGTTTCGTAGCATCACAGAGAATTATAAAATTCAGAAAACAGCTAAATATATCTTTTGAAAAGTGATAAAATTTAAGTTTAATATTTAAATAATATATGTAAATTTTGCTTTTTGAATTTAATTTAATTTTATATTATATTTTTCAAAAAATTCGGGTTACAAAACAAATTATCTTATTAGTAACAAGTAAAAATTAAAACCTAATTAAATTTATCTTTAGATTAACATCAATATTAGAATTCGATGACGAGGAAC